CCAATAAAGGAGATATTCAAGTTGTGAAGAAAACTGGTAATTCAAATGCCAAGCAGTAGTGATCCTAGTTGTGTAAGTGAATAATGACCTTCTAATAATCTTACTGTTATGAGTGTTAAGGCTGTTTTATTTCCCAAAACTATTGTCAGAAGGTTGCTGCATCCAGGTTTGTCTGTGCTGTAGACCCATCTCTGCTCTGAGGGGAAGGTGCCTCTTCTTTTCAGGGTGCAGGGTGATGTTTGTGTGTTCACAGAAGCTCATTCTGATCACTTGATTGTTATGTAAACAGTATTTCTCGAATGGAAAATGTGTTTAAAGTGGTGGGTAACTGGTGTTCCAGCATTGTTGAAGACTCCATAAAAGCTCAGTTTGCTTCGTGTTCTGCTGGACTTGGTTGAAATGTGCATGAAAACCTTGGGGTCTCCAAGGCTGCTGCTTCACTGTGCAGGTGCTCCCTAGGATGTGAAGGGCCCATGTATGATCAGAGAGAAAAGATGCTGTTCTACTGCAGGTGTTTGTAGAGGCAGTGGATGCTTTTCTGCAGAAATAAATCCATTTCTACTGGCAACTAAAGCTGTTGGAAAAAAGTACAAAACAAATCTCATGGGAGGTTTGGCATGAGGCTTTTTTTAGTGTACTTATTTTCCCTAATTTTCTTAAATGTGCTTGGTGATGTTGACAATACAAAACAGTCTCAGGTAGGCTCTGTACAGGGGATTAAGGAGATTTCACTTTTTAGTCTGTGACTTAAGTTTTTGCTTAGTAATAATGATTGCTAAAAATAACCCATTGCTTTGTGACAAAGGATGTTGATTCATATTGTTCCTAACTTGCAGTAACTTAGCTAATTTGTGTCAGTTTTGACTTTGTGATGTGGTGGCACTTCAGGATCTGGTTTGGTGATATTTTTTCTTTTGGAAATAGTAAATTTTTGGTGTTTTGTTGCTGACTTCTTCCGGTGAATCCTCAAAAGGATTTTATGAATGAGTTTCCATGAACTGTACATGTGTTTTTTTAGATGCCTCAAGAGAACAGCTGAAGAAGATCGAGGGAGACTCTGAGAGAATTCTAAAGTTTCATTTTAAATAAAGCTTTTTGACTTTTCTTTTACAGGCTTCCTGTTTGGCATGTCTTTTGTAAAGACAGTCTCTCATCAGCAGTGCAGTATGCTTCAGGTGATGCTTGTGCCCTGGCCAGTGAGGATGAAAATGTCCAGGAAAAGGTATGCTGGATACATCCTGTTAATTACTCTGTCTGACTAAATGTTAAATTCTAAAATAAGGTTCTTCTTGGCCAGAATGTTTAATATACTCAGTTGTTCTTTGAGCTGTGGTGTCTTCCCAAATTTTTATTTTCCTTTCATTCATTTGTTGCAGTTATGCAACAATTCGGGTGGGTAGTTTGGGGCAAGAGAAGGATTAAATAGCAAAGCTACTGGTGGCTGTTTATTTTAATTTGGGGGCCAGGTGTTAGGAGTGGGCATCGGGGAAGTGTAGAGCCACAATAGGAGGTGATGGACTGGGTAAGTCAAGGCCCCATTATGCCATCTGCATTGTGTTAAAAACAGTGTTCAGATGATTGTTATCCTAATAGAAGATTTAAAATTAATTGGTTAAGTCACGTTTATCACTTGTATTCCTTCTGTTCAATAAAAATTAAGAAGGCTCAAATGTGTTTCTGAAAGGTACAATAAATAAGCTGTGGTCCCTTTCATTTTTACTTTACTCAGCATTTCAGGTTAATTGAGTGTAATTGTCCCACCCTGATTAACTCATGACAAGTTTCTGCATCTTGCATTGCACAGTGAATTCCCAGGCTGTTGAGTCAGAAAGTCATGGTAATTTCATTTCTTTATTTACCCAGCTACAGAATCAGTCCTACTCTAAACATGATGTGTTGGTTTTCCTATTTCCTCCAGCAATCTGTAGTAGTGTTAATCACGATCCTCATTCCAAAAAAGCTTTTATATGCCACAATAAACTTGGAAAATGTGTGTAGGGCATTCTAGCTGACTCCAGTGGAGAGCTGCCTGACCATAAAAAATCCCTTTAAATATTGTAGGTTTCTTAAGCATTTCACCAAGTAGAGTAACTCTGGTTTTTGCCAGCTTGTGCAGCCAAAGAGCACTCAGTCCTATTCTTCTGGCTGCCTAAAAAAAAATTCTACTTGAATTTAGTGTCTGATGCAATAATACTGAAAAGTTGAAGTAAGCTTTGAGACTGGGAAGCCACTGGTGGATGATTTCCTACTCTACAACATTGTTCCTTTCATTCTGTTAATGTGGCTGCATTGTTAAGCAGATTTCTGAGCTTAAACCCACAGATGTGAAAACTAATGTTAGACTGTTGTTTCCTCTCATTAAAGAAAATCTCTTGGGTGGATGAGACATCTTAAGCAAATGTCTATTACTCCTAATTAGACTGCTGGAGCTGTCCTGCTCCAGAGGAGCAGCTCTGCAGCCCTTGATCAGTTGTCCCTTCCAGCCATTGATGCTGTTTCATCTTAGGGACTGGGATGTGAGCTAATAATATTTGGGGGAAAGTATTGCTCAGTTGTCTCCAAGGTTTGTCAGCTCAGATTTGTAGCTCCTGCTCTTCAGTGGATGCCTTAATTATCTCCAATTAATATCATATGGTGTTGTATAGCTCAGCTGCCCATTTTGGGTCTCAGCACTGGAACCTGCAGTATTTGGCCCTTAGAAAACAAAATGGGTGTAAATTTCTACCACATTTCTTGCTGTGTTTCAAAGTATTGCTCAAAAGCAGCTTGCATGTTTTGTAGTTACAACTTTTAAAAAATTTGAAAGGCAAGTGTAAATTCTTGCTAGTTTTAGTCTGGTGGGTTTAAAACTTTTTCCCCTCAAATGTTGATGCTTTTTATTTTGTGAATTTTTAGTTGTAGAAGAGAAGGTTGCTTTAAAAGGTCCTGGCAGATTTGTGTAATTACTGTAGTTCTGCTGATAAGACTGCTACAACTGACATGTGCCACGTGTTATTTTCTAAAGGTTGTCTGATGCAAGTCAGCTTAGAATTTTCTTCTCTTCTGGGCAGCAGAGAGATAGGGGTGGTTTTGTCAACATGGGAAGTCATAGCAGAATGAGGAACTTGCCTTAGCAAACAAACTGAATGGTTTAAGACAATGCTAAAATGAAGATTTAACTGAATTGCTTTAACTTGCTGTAGTCTTGTGCAGATGAGATTTTGCACACAGGTGGGCAGTGGTTCTGGAGATGAATGTAGCTCAGTTTCTTGCTGTTTTCCTGGTGGAAGAAGTGCTGTTATTGAGTAGTGGCTGCTCTGGCTGAGCATGGAACGCCTGTGCCTGCAGACTGACTGATTTTTATCTTTTTTTTTTTTACTTATTTATTGTTTTGCCTCCAACATCCCAGGGGGAAGAGGCTGCTCCCAGCCTGGAGCCTGAGCATGCAGACTCCAGTACACGGAGTTACTCCATGGAAGAGCTGCTCAATGACCTGACAAAATCTGACCAGGCAAGGCTTTGTTTCATTCTCTGTCCTCATACAGTCTGCAAATGCTTCTTGCATTTCAGTCTTTCATTTTGGTTATCTGAAGTTCATAGTAACCATCTCTCACATTTCACCTGTACACTGGGTTGCTGTCAGACTCGTGTTTCCAGTAAAAGAGAAAATGTGTGAGCTAACAGACCTTGCATTTCCCATCTGCATAAATAATGAGTAATTCAGTATTTGGAGGTACTGACTAAAAACTTTCCAAGATAAATTAAAATTGGATGTTGTAAGTATGGATGTCTGTTTATCAATAAAACATAAGTCTTTTCTCTGAGGTCTTTTTTGTAGATCAGACTTGATTATAGCAATCTGTTTTAGCTTTGATCCTTCATGGCTTCTATCACTTTCATTTCCTTTGTTAAAATGGGAAAAGGGTTGTACTTCAGCTCTATGCCATGGATGCTGTTAAGTCAGTGCTTGGTGTTAAATGTTACAAACCCACTGTTAAAGATCATTTATTTGATTGCATATTTTTGTTTTGTAGATTACAAGACCTCATACATAGAACTTATTCAGAATATTTATTTCATGTTTTGGGTGTTTAAATCTGTTAAACCTTCCTGACCCCTTCAGTGAGATGACTTGGAGTAATGTAGCTGTTGACAAGAGACTTTTGTACAATAATGTTTCCTTTTGCTGCAGGAGTTCATCTGACCTGTTTCACTGGTTATATGCTCTTTCAGATTTACAAAGCCTTATTTTGAGTGTGCTTATGAAAACTGAAGACCTAGAATAAATAAGACTCAAGACCACTAAATGCTCAAAAGTGATTTATCTCTTTGTTCACTTACAGCATGGAGTAGGCTTTAAATCATTTGGAGTGATGAAATTAAAAGCCTTCTCTAAAATTTTGTTTAGGATGAAAACAGCACATTTGATTGTGATGGAGCATGCAAATAGAACTGTTTCTCTTGGTTGCTGCCATATTCAAGCTGCTTTTCTCATGGCAGTCTCTATAGGAATTCATCATTGAGGAAGCTGTTGCACTGGCCTGCTCCAACTTTTTACATGATTATTGCAGACTACAGAAGAGTACTGCAGCTATCCCAGAGTAGCACAAAATACCACCTAGGTGTTAGAAGAAACAAAATTGATTTCTGACAGAAATCTGCACTGCTAGAACTCCATAGCAGATGTTATTGTGTGAATGCTTTTCTTACTCAGGTGTTGAAAAAATGTATATTCACCTGGAATGTTTTTACAGATAACAGAAGTGAGTGAAACAAGCCAGCCTGAAGTTGTGAGTCCACCTTCAGTAGATGTAAAGGAAGCTTCCTCCAGCATAGTCCCAAGCACTGAAAACACTTCCAGTTCACCTACCTCAGAGATTCCTCCAGTCTCACAGCCCAAGTAAGCTGCTGCAATTTTGTTGTTTCGGTCTCCCTTACTCTGCTCTTGTTAAAATGTTTAGTAGGGATAAGGTGGGATTGCTCCCCACAGTTGTTTTGCTGGTTTATGGTGTCAGTGCTCATGGAGTGTGTGGATAAACAGTTGTGTACTTGCATGAGGTGCAGTACTATTGCCATGATCAGTTTCTAAGCTGCTGCTCTGAAAAAAAAGCCAACGTGCTTAGATAATCTGTACTATAAAAGCCCTCAGGGCTTTACCATTAGGATTTCTGTCTTTCACAAATGTGCTTTCACATCTGTGTCAACAAGCATTGAGGCTGCTTCAGCAGTGGCCTCTGCTTTCAGTTCAGGAAGAACACTGCAGAGTTTTATCTGGACTTAAAAACACAGAGTCTCGAGTTCTGACAATAAGAGACTTTTGACAAAATAGCAAATTCTCATATTTGCAGTTTAGTTCTAGTGCTTAGTAGTGTATTGCAGAGCTGCCTCTGCTGCAGGCATCTTTCTGGAGTCCATGTACTTTTTGTTTCCTTTTGCTTGTGGGATGTTGTGCTATCCAATGTGAACTGTAGTATGGAAATTCATGTCTTCTTCAAAGGATTTTCACAAAGTCCTGTTGGGTTTTTGATGTGTGCTAATCCTGTCCTGACTGCTGATAAAGATGAAGTATTTTGTTAGATAAAAATTGAACACGTTGAAAATGAAATAGGCTTGTCTTTGGTGTTTTGGGGTTTTTTAGAGTTCAATTTTTCTGCTTTACCAAATTTCATTTCTTTACCATAGAAAAGGTATGGAAACTTTGTTTGCTGGCTGATCTTGCCTAGTCTGCCAGGGCTAACACTTAAACACATTTTGGTATTTCATCAGTGTCTTTAATTGGAAGCCTTCCAAAATTTGCAATTTTTATAAGGCAAGACTGGAATGTAGCTTCAGCCTGTTCTTTTTATAGCTTTTTTTTGACTGCTCCACTGATTTATTTATGTAATGTGTTGTAAGATCTACTTTTGTCAGGTCCTAGAAGGAGACAGGATGTTATTTTCTTTGAAACATTCAGCTTGGTGTCTGGTAATTGTTGGAAATTGTCTGGCTGCCATAGCTGGGGAATACTGGAGTGGTGAACTCTGAGGACTTGAACTGTGAAACAAATGAAAATAGAAACTTGGTTTGGAGCACCTGATGGATGAGTTCATGCTGGGCAGTGGTGTTGTGGCACCAGTGCCATTTACAGGAAGAAAGGGCAGAGCTGGTGTAGCAGAGAAGCATGTTGATGCATTATTTCCAACTGCACTTCAGCTCTCAGTAATGAACAGGTTAATATCCAAACCAGCTGTGGTCCAGCTCCATCCTTAAACAAGATCATTAAAAAGACACACTTGCATTTGTTATCTTCAGACATTTTTTTACATTTTGGCTGGTTTAGATGCTGATTCCTGACAGTGTAACAAAGTCCAGCTCTCTCAGGTGTTACTGGTCTAATATTTCAACAGAACCTCTTAGCTAAAATATTTTGACAGGAATTTTATCCCAAACAAGTTTCACTTTGTAGTGAATCCTTTTTTAGAGCAGCACTGAGTTTAACTTTTCTACCTAAGTCTAATCTGAGGAAAAATTATTGAAAAATAATCCAAGCTCTTTATGTCTGGAAGTAAGGAACCTGCTGTGCAAAGTGACCTTAATGTAATGCATTTTAAAAATTAAGGCAAATCAAGGTATCCAAAGGAGAGGGAACATTACAGCTTTTAGACTCATCTTCTGCCAAAATTGGTTACTTTGAGACCAGTCAGGTACACCCTGAGAGCAAGGAATTTTCAAGTTCCTTCTTGTGTCATATTTTATTCAGTTGATAATTATTCATCCTGTCACCTACCCACTGAAATGGAGAATGTGGAGCTTTTCAGTTTTGTGTAGTGGTCAGCTTTATTTAGTCAGTATAAAGATGCATGCAGAGCCAAACACTGCATCTCAGATGGAGGCATTTTGGGGCATACAGAGTAAACATTCCCTGTTCATAGCTAATAAATTCTTGTATTCATGTTTGTTAGATTCTGCTGCATAGCAAAAAGTCTTGGAATACCTAGGAGTTTTTTGTTTTATACCACAGGAAGTTTATCATGTCAAAGGTACTGAAATTGTCTCCCTGGGTTGGTTGCAGCTGCTTCTGTTGATAATTGTAGCAGTGAGAGAACCAAAAGATCCCCTTTTAAGTTGCTGACGTGCTGTTTGTGTTTTGGCAGCTCTGTCATGATACTGGATTAACCTAGTTTGCTGCTTCCATTAAAGAAAGCTTATGTGGAAATTTAGAAAGCAGAGTAAAGCTTTTCCTTAGATGTGTCTGTAGCCTGGATAGCATGAAAGGCATCCTTGTGCTGGAGAGGAGAGGACAGGCAGAAATTATCACTTGAGAGTTACTCTTTGTCCATTTTCTTCTCCCCACTCATTCCATCATTCCTGAAGAGCAGATGGGAAGTTTTCTGTTTGGTTTGTGCCTCAGGATTTGTCTGAGCTGTGCTCAGCCTTCCTGGGACAGGAGCTGAAGCAGTGGGCAGATGAGCTGGTTTGGGCTGTTGGTACAGCTTGGATAATGGTCTGCTGGGTTACCTGATTCTTATTACACCAGCAAAAAAGAAGAAATAAATCAGTAGAAAGGAAGTCTGGCTGGTTCTGCTTTTCTCCCCTCTATTCTCTAATTTTAGCCAAGTTCTGTTCTGACTGCTGCCTCCTGACTTGGGAACATGAGGAGCTTTTAGTGAGGGAACTCTGTCTCGGGTTTGTTTCCTTTGTTGAAAGGGAAAAGAAAATTGCTGGCAGGCAGGTGACTAGGAAGATGCTGTTAGTTTGTAGTGATGCTGGGAAGAATTATCCATTGCAGTGTTTGGTAAGGTGTTAGATGAGAGTTGTGGCAGATGAGAAGCTTGTTTTGAGCTCCTTTTTGGGACAGACAGGAAAAGGAAATTCTGTTCTTTCATGGGTACAGCTGAGAATGCAATTCCACAAGTATTGCATGCTTCATTCTTCTTTTCTTAATGATTTCTGTGAGATGGTTGCTTTATTAAAACTTTCACATATCTTTGTAGTTGATTGTCAGGGTTCCTTGTATGATCAGAAGGCTAAAAAAGCATGTTGTTTGTTTCCCTTCAGTGCAATAGAGAATTCCCGTGCTGATATCCCTGTAGTCAGCTCTAGTGAAGCTGAGCAGTCAGAACCTGACTGTGATATTGGTGGGACACTTGAGGCTGACCCTCAGAGTGAGCCTTCCTCTTTTGTCAGTCCACCAGAGAGGTGAGTATCCAAGCAGGTTGTGTGTGACTCTGAATTCTTAAAAGGGAGTTGTTCTTTTCTGTGCTGGCTTTGCAACCAACATTTGCATGTGCTTGCTTATCTCCATACTTGTGTGTGTGCAATATTGCATGTGGCTGACCATGTTCTAGATCCTAATACTCTTTAAACTTTCAGCCTTGCAGGCCAACACATAGAGAACATATCATCTTCACATGGCAAGGGAAAGAAGACAAAATCTGAGTTTGAGTCCAAAGTTTCAGCAGCTGAAAAGGGGGCAGATGAGCAAAAATCTGCTCTTAATGCTTCAGAGAACTTAAAAAGGGAGGTAAGCAGTGCTGGTATCCCCTCAGTACACCCAGGAGTAATGCCCTCTGTTTGGTTATCACCACTGGTGAAACATGTGATGTGTTTTTATTCTGTCCCAGAAGTAGCACTTGGCCTTCTGTGCCTAACTGTGTGACTTTTTTCATGCTCTGGTTGTGAGGTACTCCCTAAAACTTGTGTTTTTTAAATAAGACTCTTTTTCAAATCAGAATGACCAAGGCCATGGCAATACCATTTTTTGCTGGTTTAGGATCATGTTTAAGCTGTCACTTGGCAGCTACCTTTAAAATGTTGTCTGCAGAATAACCTCCACTCTTGAAATGTCTACCAAAAACTTTCAGTCATCTGGTGGTGTGCTGAAAATGTTTGTACAAAGGAGAAGTGAAGACTGGAAATGGAATAATGTACAGTTTAGTTGGCAGGGTTCTTGCTTTGTCAGGCAAGTCCAAAACCTGAGATTTCCGAGATACTTAAAAATAGTTCCTTTAATGTTTAATCATTCTGCTGGTTTTGAGATGTTCAGAAATTCCAGAGAACCTCTGGAATTCTGTCATGACAAGCATTGATGTTTAAAGATTTTTGCTACAGGGAGACCTTTCTTCATTTGGAAGAGGAAAAGCAAAAATTGGGAAGAAAATGCAGGTGTTGGAGAAGAAGGCTTGAATTTTATTTAAAATGTATTAGCTTAGCCACAAAAATTGCCAGTATTTCAGTGAAATAATCTGTAATTGAAAGAAAAATCATCACATGTTTTTTCTGGCTCATAATCTTGCTTACACTGGCTCTAAGTTGTTAACAGGGGTGCAAATGATGTCTGTGCCCTTGACTTGATCAGACCATGCTTTGTTTTTTGAAGTTCATCTTTGTTTTCGTTGTTGGTCCTGAAAAATATTCACAATTGGTGGTTCTTTCTTTTGCAGAAAGACTTTAAAAAGACAGGAGAAATTGACCCTACATCAGTAATAACTCCAAAGGACCCTGGAGACATTCCAACATTTGATGAATGGAAGAAGAAAGTCATGGAAGTGGAGAAAGAAAAGAGTAAGTTCAGGATTCATTAGTTTGGTGTAAATACAGACCACTGTCATCTCACACTAGAGCTGAATAGAGAGACTGTGTTCATTTGGAATGCAGCCTGGAGCTTGATTTTTCTGCTAGAACTACGTAATTAATAGCCTTCATTATAGAAAAGCAGTGAGCAGAAGCTCCCTGACAGTGCAAATACTGCTTGTTTGTGTGGTTTGTTATAGTAGCAATATTTTCTTGTCCCTAGGTCAGTCAATGCACCCTTCTGCTGTTGGTGGGCAGCATTCCACGAAAAAGGTCCAGAAAAACAGGAATAACTATGCCTCTGTAGAGTGTGGTGCCAAAATTTTGGCAGCGAATCCAGAGGCAAAGGTAAGCATTTATTAATTAAAAGTATGTGTTATTTTAGTGTACTGTTATGCAACAAGTAGCACAAAGTACACTTAAAACTGAACACTGGTTTGTGAAGTTTTTATTTTGTGTTTGGATTTATTGGGGTTTTGATTTATAAAAATAAGACATAAACAGTAATCAGCGCTTTTTTTAAGCGGGATTGTTATAGAACTTGATGTCTTTTAAAGTGAACTCGGAAAATGGGAGTAGAGTCTACTTCCTACAGAAACTGAACAGAGTTATATTAAAGAGCTCCCCACAGTAAATAATCCATCATTACCCTAAAGTATGGCATACTGTGTCCTGGATAATTACCTTGTTCAGAGTGTTGGGAAACTTGCTACTAGTCTACAAACCTGTTTTTAAATTATTGTTGCAAAGAGGGGGAAAATCCTTGATGTTGTTGGTATCTACCATGCAATTTAAAATACTAATTTTTTTCTTTCTACAGAGCACTTCAGCTATTTTGATGGAAAACATGGATCTTTATATGCTCAATCCTTGCAGCACTAAAATCTGGTAGGTTCCTGAGGTTCACATTTGTGGCAGAAGTGGTGACAGTTTTCTGTTGCTGTGGGACTGCCTTGACCTTGGTGTGCTGCTCCTTGGAATGGGTGTGTGAGGAACTCTGGCAGAATTAGCACAATGTTTTATTATGTCTTCCACAGAAATCTAGCTCTGCTATTGAGAAGTAATATTAAGGTGATATTTTTATTTATCTTAATATGTGTAAGTTTTGCATAACTATCTTATGGCAGATAAAGCACTTGAGCATTCAAATCAAGACTCCTGTTTTCCTTCCCTGACTGTCAAATAACTGTAGTACAAGTGAACAGAATTTACCATACATTAATTGGTACTTCAGGTGTGATTTAAATCGTTTGGTGTTCTGAGTTTTTAGTTCTGTGACTCGATGCCTTTGAGTACAGGATGAATAAAGCTCTTGTAGCTGCAGGTGCTACCTGGAGTTATTAAAGTAGATGTTCAGAAAAACACCACCAGTGATTCTTAGGCACAGCATTTTTGTAGTTCCTCCTTACACCCAGTGAAGGATGTGATAATGAGGTGAAGGGCTGGAGATTGTAACTGCAGAAGGAAAAGTATTTTCTTAAAAAAAAATTACTTTTTGTCTTTAAGGTTTGTTGTTGAGCTCTGTGAACCAGTGCAAGTAAAGCAGTTTGACATTGCAAATCATGAATTATTCTCTTCCACTCCTAAAGACTTTCTGGTGTCAATTAGTGACAGGTATGTTACCTAAACTCATCCTTCTGAATTAAAAAATGAAATAATTATTCGATGCAAGGCTTTATGAAGCATGGTCTGTGTATGCTTGTTACTATGCAAAGTGTAATGTCATGTGAAGTCACATGGTTTTTCTTTGTGCATATTGTCAGTTGCTAGCAGTTTTTTTCCTTTGCCACCTTAAAAATGAAAAGGAAAAATTTGCTGAGGAGCATAATTTATATAGTAGCTGGGTAGTGGATGGCAGATTATAAAATCCCTTAATAAAATACCACTGAGGTTGTGGGCTCTCCCCACCTTTGTAATTCAGACCATTTTTCACATGGTTTGAGCTGTCTTCAATGCTGAACTCTGCCCAAAACACCACCAATTCTTCGAAAAGAAAAAAGTGTAGTACACTATTGAGAAATTGGAAGGGGTGAGAGTGCTACAGGTTGGCCAGATGGCTGCTTGAGGGTGGCTTCACAAAGATTTAGGCAGTGCTGTGTCCCTATTGCTTTCTGGAATGAGCAGATAATTCTGGTCTGTGAGCAGACCTTCCAAGGGCATCAGAAAAACTCCTTTTCCTGGATGCCTAAGGCAGGTATGCTTAGAAGCTTTGAACACTTGTTCTGCTGTGCAGTTGTAGCTCTGCTTTGCTCAGTTTGCTCCAGCCTGTCAGGTGTTGTGTTCTTCACTGTTCTTCTGGGGAGTTTCAGTGATTGGATAAGTTTGGGGTTTTGTGCTTCAAGATCTTGCACGTTGCTGTTGTTGTGTGAAGCTCCTGCTGAGGTTTTGGGTTGGGAACGTTGCTGCTACCTTGCAGCTGGAAAGAATAAAATGTATTTCTGCTCTGGAAAGGCATTAGGAGAAACTTAGGGAAATAGCTGGAAAGAGTGAGTTGCTGCATTTCATTACCTGACTGTTGTTTCCTTTCTAGGTATCCAACAAACAAATGGATTAAATTAGGTACTTTCCATGCCAGAGATGAGAGGAATGTCCAGAGCTTTCCTCTGGATGAACAGATGTATGCAAAATATGTTAAGGTAACTCAGTACTGCAAAAACATCCATGCTCCTCAGGGAAGGAAGGGTTTCCTCAGTATAACAGCATCCCAAGAAATGTGTTATCAAAGCCTGCCTTACCATTAATTGCCCTTGGTTAATTAGTGGCCCCAGCTGGGTTGTCTGGGTACTAAATCCTTGTCACAGTTGTGACATTATTACCTTGCTCACTTGGGTAATTGAAGGATATTGGGAAGCCCCTTGGGTCCAAGTATATACTGAGCTGATGCCTGAATTAAGGAAAGCCTAGACAAAGTTCTGTTCTGTTTGACTTAACCACCTTCCCCTGAATGTAAGATCAGAACAATCTCGACCTGGTTTGTTTCTTGGCTGTACCTGCTTTACATATATATACATATATCTGTATCTATTTAGATATATATGTATATATACACACACTGCACACTCAGTCTCTGGAGCACAGATCAGAACATGTTATTTCTTGATTTTAGTACCATGTTGTGCTGTACACTTCAGTGAATCTGAAAGTGGAAGTGGTTGCATCTTGGTTTTCATTAACAGATTCCAAGTGCAGTTCTGCAGTTATTCAGGCATAATTCTTACTCAGGCAAATTATTTATGCTCACTGCTACTGCAGCATTGCCATGATACCTCCACCTTCAAAATAGTTTGCATTAAGCTGTCTTTATTCAGGAGACTCAAAGGGAATAAAACTCCATGAATAATTAATGTGGTACTTGAGTTTGGATTAAAGCTTCTGTGGAAATATTGAGTTGTAGTGAAGGCTTAAATTCAAATAAAATACAAACCTTTTAGGTCCTCTTCAGTGAAGTGCTGTCTTCCAATTATGGTGTTGCCAAAAAAAAATATTAGTTTGTGCTCCTTAATTATGCTTTTTGCTTTTATGAAAAAGTAGCTATGAATGATAATTGTCTAACTTCTCTACCCAGAAATTCTGCATGAGTCACAGAGTAGAGATTTCATTTATTTTTAATGCTGTTTTCTGGCTGAATTAATGCCTTAAGGTAGCTGCCATTGTCACTGAAGTTGGAGAATTCGTGTAGATGCTGCAGCACCTTAATCCCTTGGTGGATGCAGTGCTCTGCCTTGTATATAATACAGCATGGTAAATTTTCCAAAGGTTTGTTCTCATTATGTTTTCACTTCACAGTGCAAAAAGTAAGCAAGTTCTAAATATGTCTGGTCTACAGAATGAATCCAGAGTATTTTCAAAAGTTAAATTTTTTGCAGTGGCTTATTGAACTTTTATAAAAAACAATGGGATTTTTGCTGTTGTGGAATTATTTGTCTTGGTCTCACTGATAGTGTATACATAGTGGTTTAATAAATGCTGGCAAATTACTTCAAATTAAATAACTACCAGTGTGTAATCAAGGTTGCAGTAGAAATGCACAGCTGTCTGAAGCTCCCAAGTTTGTCATCAGCTGCTCTATTTCTTACAGTTGTGCTTCTATAAATTGAAATACTTTATAGTGAGTTGAAGCAGCAGCAGTACATATAGAGTGCATGCTACATGGGTTTGTTTTTCCTTTTGAGTCACTTTCTGTAGTCTGTATCCTTTAAGGGGAAAAAATACATTAGGACATTTAACACACTTCAATACTCTATCTGCAGTCGTGCTGCCCTGAAAAATTGAATAACTTCAATGGCTTAATAAAACACTGTTGCATGTTACCTTCAGTCTGCAAGGTACAAGGGCTAAATGGAATCTTGCTACCCAAGGCAGATGAAGTTGTGTTACCACTTAATCCTTCCCAGCTTGTCATCTTAGGCATTTATAGAAGTGAATTAAACTCAGCAGGACTCTGTAGTTGCCTGTGGCATGTGTTCAGCCTTTGTACTGACATCTACTTTTTTTGTTTGTTTTGTTTTGTTTTTTTTTTTCTCCTTTCCTCTCTCTCGCTTCAGATGTTCATCAAGTACATAAAGGTTAGCAACTTCTTCTTGTGGAGTGATGGCTGCATGGGGCTGGGGGTGTTCTCTGCTCGACTCAGCTCTTTAATGCATGGCAAGAATAAATCTCTGGGCTTTTCTGCTGTGGGCAAGCTGCAACTCCCTGGAGTGAACAAAACTTGCAATTTCAAGATTGAATGTTTATGTCAAGTGAACTTTTGGCTCTGTGGGTCTTTGGAGTTTTATTTTAAGTACCTTTTATTCTTTAGGTGGAGTTGATATCACACTTTGGATCAGAGCATTTTTGTCCTTTAAGTCTTATAAGGTAATACTTTGTGTTTTGCTTAATCTTTCTACCTCCTTGCAATGAGGATTAGTCTGTTTTTAGAATAGCTGGGCAACAATTCCAATTTTCAGCTGCAGTTACTTGTAAGTATTGTGGATTGAAGTAGTTGCCTGACCTGCCTGGTGTGTAGTGTCTTTCATGTCTGTTTAAAGAATCTTTGAATCTTTTTATTTGCTTCCCCAGTATGTAAGTAATAGTTTATATTTGCAGGGGGAGGGAAGGAGGAAACAGGAGCCTTGAGCAGCTTTAGAGCAGGACAAGAGCATTTCAAGGCTGACAAAGCAGGACAAGGAACAAGTAAACTAAAAAGAGCAGGTGTGGTGAGTGCTTTTTGGAAGCTGCTGTGCTGTTTGGCACCACGGGTGCATGTAGTCAGTAATGCTTGCAATAGCTGAGTAGAAAAACCTGTGAATTTGTAATTCAGAGAGCCATCAGCCTCTGTACTGTTCCTAAAAAACAGGTTTTGAACCTGGGAGGTCTTTACTGTTAAGAAGTCAGACTATATTTTTAGTTCACAAGACTGCTTTAATTTAGATTTACCTCTTCTGCCAAAATTCAGTCCAAGATAATGTGGTATGCAAAGTGAGGTAGTTCTGAGTAGATATTCCTAATATTTAGATATTCCTAAAGCAAGTCAAAGGTGAGACTGAAGAGGAGATACAAGAGCTCATGGAAAGACAAAGAGGTCTAGGTTAGACTTGGAAAGGAAGAAAAGACTCTTGGGAATTAGAATGAGAAACAGGATCTTGTTTTGGTTCTTTGTAGATACAGCTTAGAGAAAATAAATAAACATCCCTGCTGCTTGATCTTAACTGACTGTACCTACTGTATCTCAATACTTGTTACATGAAGGTAACACTGCTTATCAGTTATGTCATATCATTCCTAATACTAGGTTTTTATTTTAAAACTTTGATCATAGAGTATTTGGTACTAGCATGGTTGAAGAATATGAAGAAATAGCTGATTCTCAGTATCAGTCTGAACGACAGGAACTGTTTGATGAAGATTATGGTAAGCAAATATTTTTGTGCATTTTTAGCCATTCACACAGCTATTGTGCTGATCTTGGTGATTCATCACTTCCTGTATATGATGGAAGATTTGACTGTTTAATTATTTGTTGACAGTGTTTCAGCATTTCTGGACTTTTCTAACAATCCTGTGAAGTTTTAAACAATGTTTAAATGTAGCTATGTAGAGTATTGCTTTAAAATGATAGTAATAAGTCTCTGTTTTACTTGACAGAATAGACAATTTCTTCATGTGCTGACAGTAGGAAAGGATTACTAAAATAAAGCAGTTCACACAAAACAGTTCTGTTCTTAGTGTCCATTTCAGTTTGTAATATCTGACCTCAAGCTTTCTGTAATTTTATTTCCACACTGTCAAATTGACATCATTGAGTGACATATTAAATCTTGAGGTTTATATTCTTTGCCTATGACAGATTAAATTTTTATAGTCACGAGTTGTTTTTCTTTATACACAGATTATCTATTGGATTATAACACAGGGGAAGAAAAATCTTCAAAAAATCTTCTTGGTTCTGCTACAAGTGAGTATGATTTATTATTATTTAGAAAAAGTTATTCCTGTGCTTAAAACAAGATGTGGTAATTGAAAATGAAATAATTTGTCATGTAACATCTACAACTTTCATATTCTGCTGAAGGAATTTGTGATTCTTCTTTAGTTTCATAGAAATAATGAAAAATTTGTAGTTGGGGATCATTCTTAGTGTTCTAAAAATGATTTTTCAATTTGTAAGGATATCTGTTTTGTGGAAACTTGTTTTCTGTACTTAAGGATTCTGAGTACTGAAAATCATGTAAAAGTTGCATGGGGATGTAAATGACCAGTACTAAAGTGATGTAGAACTTTAACTGGAAGTTGGAAATCTGTGTTTAATTAAAATGCTTAACTTATGGGAGGCAATATAAAGATTTGCTTTGTACAACTTCAGGGGGAGAGAAGGATGGGGAATGCTATTTCTGAGAACACTCCATGTAAATACTGTGATTTATGTTCTTCATAAGGGCTGTGTATTTTTTGGAGAGAACTAAAGGTTCTTGACTATCTCCTTTCACTTTTCCCGTTGGAAGACTTCCATGTGTAAGGTTTGCTTGGCTGAGAATCCTTGAATATTCAGTTTTAATGGTATTCTTCCCTGCTGAATTATTCAGGGTAGTATCACCTGAACACACCATTTCCTAAGGAGCTCTTGCACTCTACCACTCTCCCTTCTGTCCCACCTAATGAAGATTTGTTTTTCTAGTGTAGATTTGCACTCAGTTAACGCTGTTTGGAGTCAGGCTTTGCTTTCATCCTGTAGTAGATCAGAGCTACAGAAATATTTCATACTTTTTCCTAGAACATTGTTGTCTCCTGAGAATAAGGTCAAGGCTAGAAATATTCACAGTTTAGAATAGTTTTGAAAAGGAAATAGATGGTGAAAAAGGCAGTTTATTTCTAACTGTGTGCTGCTTCTCACAGATGAGATAAAGCAGTAAATTCTTCCCTGACACTGCTTATCTCTTACTTGTGACTTCTAAACTTATCTTCAAGCTATCTTGGTGATGCATATTCACGTGATCTGTCTGCAAGGGCAGTATTAGATGTTTATATTCACTGTCTGAGAAATGCAGTGACTTTCCATTTAATTTTTTAGACTACTCAAGCTAGGATTAAAAGATTTGAAACACCTGTTGCTGATAGTGCTCAGCTGTCTCTCTAATGCACTGAAACATTGCAGTGACCAGTATTTAGTTCTGCCTGGTGGGTTTTGTTACTGAGACCTTTCCTCTCTGTCAGGGTGGTCAGTGCTCCTCTTTTGGAAGGAGTGGAGTTTATAGGTATTGTTTTTTGGTGAAGTTTTTTTGTATGCACAAAGACAAATGTGACAGGTTTCCATTGTGAATCTTAAAAGTAGAGTGGGAAAGAAGGTCCTCTGAGGAGGAGATGGAGGGTTCTCAGACATTTAATCTCATAAGAAACATTCTGCAATCTTCCAGGAGTCTGAGCCTTTGAGGGTGGCTCACTGTTCTCTCTCCTGCCATTCTCACATTGTGAAGCTTCTACACCAGCTCTGTATTCACCCTCATTTTTCATAAGAAACCATCCATAGCTCAAATTTAGCATCTTTTGAGTATTGTGACATTCTGCACTATACAAACCCAGATAAATGAACATAAATCAGGAATTGCAGCTTCTGACATGTTCTGGAGGAAAGGCAGAACCAAAGTTTTGAACACAACTTCCTGGAGCCCAAGGAATTAGTCATTACTACTAAAATGCCTCTCTAGCAGGATGACCTTGGCCGTGTGACATACATTGCCATGTGTTGATGGGTGGGGGAGAAATGGGCAAAATGAAACCAGCTTCTGTGTGTTTACAATGTTGTGCTCTCTACCTGTTCCTCATCTTCTAAATGAGTCTGGCAATTATGTTTGTTGTCATTATCAAGACCTGTATTATCAAGTAGCTGTATTTCATATCTGTGCTGATGTAGAGCAGGCCCTCTTGGAATTCACCTCTGTGAATTCAGAGGGGAGAGGAACTGTTCTACTTAACAGGTCCTTAAAATAAATACATGTGTAAGCCAGATCTGTGGATATTATGGTACAGGTTTTCAAATGCAGGTTTGTGGCTTATACACTTACCTTTAAAAGAAACAGCTGTCTCCAGTGTAATAGAATGACCAGATATTACATCTTTACACTGTGATTCATTTCAAGCAAGTGTTGCAAAATATGAAATTTCTCAGTGCTGCTGATCTCTGGGCCCTCAGAGAGTGCCCTTGCTGAATAGCTGTTGTCTCATTTAGATGCTATCCTGAGTATGGTGAACATTGCTGCTAATATGCTTGGAGCCAAAACTGAGGAGGCATCTGAAACTGAAGGTACTGTAGTTTAGATGAAAAGCATTCTGGAAAGTTAGCATCTCTTTAAGGTTTTTTTTGTGAGGAGTTTGATGGTCAGTGATGGTTTAAATGAATTTTTTCACCTTTTGTGGCACACTTGATTGGTGTCATAGAACCTAGTGATTGTGAAAAGTGCTGAATTTGTTGAGAAGAAAAGCCATGCAAAGATGACACATGTGCTTGTTCAGCTTTATTGGAGATCTTTGCTCCGTGTTACCCAACTGAAGTTGTCAAGTCCTAACTTGCTGCTTCTTTATCAAAATATTTTGAGGCTGTCCACAACATCATACTCATAAACTGTCAGTAGCATTTCATTCAGATAACTTTGGATAACTCTGCAATTAATTTGGTAGCACAGCTAATCATAAAAAACCCCACCCAGACCTTAGAATTGGTTGAAAGCAAAGGTAGTTCTTGAATTTCCACGTTCAGATTTTCCTCCTTCCTGCAGCTGGGAACAAAAGCGTGTCTGAAAATGTCACTGCCACCCCTGCAACTTCAACAGCTGCACCAAGACTGCCTGAACCAACACCTGTTCCTTCACCAGAGTAAGTGATTGCTTTTGGGCTTTTTGTAATGTGCTCCATGCAGACATAAACAAGGGAAAAAGCAGGTATTTGGTAAAATCTGTAGTGTGGTAATGGCACTAACCAGAGAAATTTAGTGTTTTGGTTATGTCTATTATAGCTATTTCCATTGTGGTGTGTTTTGTTTTGACACAGAAACTGACTTAATATTGTTCCAGGTTTTGTGGTCTCCTGCAAGGGAGACTAATTAGGAATGTAAATTGTATTGCTGAAACTTCAGTAAAATTACATTGACAAAATTCTGGTTTAGCAGCTTCTGCTTTGGTAGACTTCCCTTAATGAAAACATATATGTAAATGTACAGAGTGAGCTTGAGAAGTTCTCTATAGATTCTGTTGTTTTTCAGTTGATTACAATTGCTGATAATTAGGCTGTTTAAGGCCAAGACCCTACCTCTTCAGTGTTAAGACATGACTTTTGGTGTATTTAGTGCCTTTATGGTTTTCTATCATTCCTGCTGTGAGGCTGAGGAAGGTCAGTAAGAATGCTGGGATTCTTGCATTTGAGGGCTGCATCAGCAGAGTGAGATGCTTGCTGTGTAAAAAAGAGGTTTTGAACTGCTGACTGTTTTCAGGGTTGAGGGAAGGGGCAATATCTAATTGAGAAAACTTGCTGTTTAAGAGGCAGGGATTGAAATAATTTGCTTATTGGGATTGAAAATTGAAAATGCTGTCTTGCAGAATTTCTGTCTCAAAACCAGCCTTTGGTCACTGGACTTAGCTTTGCTAATTTTCTGAAAGACTGTTTTCATGGTCTTCAAGAGCAGGGATGTAAAACTGTTGAATTAATGCCTTGTCTTTAACTCTGTTGTAGACTTGTTACTACAGATATTCCACAGATAGAGCAATTAACGGTGGATTTGACTAAAGAAAGCCCAATTGTTCAGCTAATGCAAGAGTATGAGGAGGATACAAGCCAGTCCACAGTAACTCTGCTGCTCAGTGATGAGCAGGAGGAGGAAGCAGCAGCGTGGTTTGAAGTGGAGACAGAGCAGTACTGCTGTGACATGGCAGCAGTGTGCTGCATTTCCACCTTCTCGGAATACCTGTTCAGGTGGTGCTCGGTGGCAGCAGCCATGCATCGGCAGCACAGCAAAACTGGGGGTGAGGAGAGGCCACCTTACCCTGTGGATGTGCAGCAGCCAGAGCCAGCTCTGCCTGAATCTGCCCTGACAGCAGCAGAGGAGCCTCTGCCTGAGCAGTTGGACAGCAAAGCTGAGAAACCCCCTGGGACTGTTGTTGCAGTTGACTTCAGTGCAGCCCACGAGGAGATCAGTAATGAGACCACAGAGTCCATTGAGCTGGAGCCAAGCCATCCTCAGACTGTCTCTCCATCCCTCCTCCTAGAAGTGACTTCTGAAGTGAAGCCATCCCCCACAGCAGACATGGTGCTGGAGCCTCCAAAGGAAGACTCAGGCCAGGTGGCACCAAGGGCCACTCCCCAGGTGGATGTGCCAGAGCTCAGCACTGAAATGGAAAAGGCCGAGAGCTCAGTTGTAGAAGAAAGCCCCGAGACCAGTGTGGCCACTGAGGTAAAGGAGATGAGCACAAGAGAGACTGTTGCTACTCCAGTGATGGCAAAGCCTACAGAGACTGTTGTGCAGCCTGAAAGCACGGTGGACGTGGCAGCCAGCGATGCTGCGGAGGGAAAGGAGAGCACTCCAGAAGTGCAGAAACCTGCGGTGCCTCCTGTGGAGCCTCCTGTGCCTGCAGACACAAAGGAGGAGGAGCAGGCAGCAGAGGAAGCTTTGCTGGCCATTCCTGTCTCGGGGGGGCCACAGAGAACAGCCACAGATTTCTATGCTGAGCTGCAGAACTCCACAGAGCTGGGCTATGCCAACGGGAACCTCGTGCATGGATCCAATCAGAAGGAATCTGTCTTCATGCGCCTCAACAACCGCATCAAGGCCCTGGAAGTGAACATGTCCCTCAGCAGCCGCTACCTGGAGGAGCTCAGCCAGAGGTGAGCCCGAGCAGGGGTGCTCAGGGCCTGCCAAGTACAGGGCAAGTTGGACAGAGGGTTAATCACAGCTTAAAACTTCATGCAAAACTGAGGAAAGGAAGGACCCAAGCCTAGGTGGCTGTTGGAGTTACCCCGTGTGAGACAAGGCTTTTCCCTCTTTGTATTTCAGATAAAATCCTGTTTGTTTTATTGTGGGATTTTTAAAAGGATAAAGTGTTGTTAGGATGTGGGCACTCATCCTATCCATAATTCTTTCTACAAAAGGGCACATCCTTGTTACTGTTGAACTGAATGTCACAGACTTACAATGCCTTTATTATTAAATTGTTTCCACTTAAAGTACCCTGTTATCTGTAGTAACTCTGGTTAAATAAGTGACTGTGGAGAGGGAACCGATAGCTTCCTATGGAGAATGTCTCTGTGTGTTAATGTTTATCTGTGGTGTTCCTTAGCTACAGGAGAGTGGGGAAATGTACCCATTCCAAGGAAGGGGCTCACAGTTACATTTACTGTGCAGAATGAATTCAGTAAATTGGCACTAAGCTTGAAGGTGTTGAAATAGATTTGACCCTAACCTTGAGGAAAAAAAGAAAAGGCACATCAGTTTTATTTGTGAAACTTTAAAGCAGATACCACTTGATGTTTAAATGAACCTCTTTGGGCAAAGAGAAGGTTTTTGTTGGCATAGTCATGTTTTCTGAAGACAAGTCTAAGCTTTGAGGAGTTTTGTGCACTAATATTTCAACCCTAAACACTTTTTGTTTTAGGTACCGAAAACAAATGGAAGAAATGCAGAAGGCTTTCAATAAAACAATAATAAAACTTCAGAACACCTCAAGAATAGCAGAAGAGCAGGTATGATTTGCTTGGAGCATTGTTGTTTTCCAAGTTAGAAAGACTTACTTTTAATCAAGAGCTGCACAGAGGTGCAAAAATTCTCTTTCAGCTGGGCTGTATGTCTGCCTTTTGAAAACATCCATTTCATGCTTCCCTATTTTTCTCCATAAGGAGATTTTTAGACATGTTCTTAGTTGTTTCAGAATAAAGCCATTTTCAGCTCTGGTTTCTGATTTTGTACTTGAAGAAAAGATCAGTTGTCAGCTGGTAATGGCTAAAACTCTTCGATGTCTTTGTCAATGAAAGAGTTATCTGGGGCAGTTCCAACCCTTGTTTATTGGTTGTAACTGCACTCACACAAATTTTTTAAAATTTGCTTCATTTTTCATATCTGATTTAAAGTATTGATAGACAGTTTCCCTGCTGCTGAAGAGATTGAACCTATGGGAAGGTAGAGGGGTACAGTAATGGGCCAAATCTGCATTTTAAAATGCAGTGCATGTAACAAAGTCTTGACTTCATTCTTTAAAATGTGGATTTTCCCTGCTCTGCCATCTTGGCTTTCCTGAGCAGCTGTGAAATAGAGCAGTAACTGCTGTGTTAAACATTCACTAAAGCAGCTGTGGCATAGCAGACTTGATCCCAAACTGTCTGCAAGTTTCTGAAGTGCTGTCCTAGGCCTGGAGTTTCTTCATCTGTGAACAATGAAGAAAATGGCAAGTTTAATGTGTTGCCTTTTCTGGGTAGGATTTGGGGTTTTTTTGGAAGAGTATCAGTGCTGGTCAGTCTGAGGCTAGTCTGTCTGTTGTTCTGCTCACCTTCCTTAAATTCTCAGAGGATGGAGTCCTGTCAGGGCTCTTCCCATGGAGCAGTTGTCTGGGAAAGCTGCTCCTGTCCTGGACTGTGCATCAGCCTTAGGCTGGAGCTGTGTCTGGGCAGCTGTGTGTGTTCTGTGGCCTCCTGACAGTGACTGTGGAGCTGCCTGCTCACTGTGCCCGTGGTGAGGACAGCAGAAGTCTCTCTAATGAAATGCACTTGGCATCATGGTAGGAAATGTTAGCTGACAAATAAAAATGTTTTATGTGAAGGCTGTGTTGAAAACAACACGGGACAGGCTGTGTGGCTGCTGAGTGCCTTTGCTGTGTCAGACAGAACACAAATTCTGTAGCCATGAGTGCATGTGACAGTGGGAGCCAGAGCACTGACAGCATGCCCATGACTGTTCCCCACAGGATCAGCGTCAGACAGAGGCAATCCAGCTGCTCCAAGCACAGCTCACCAACATGACCCAGCTGGCCTCCAATCTGTCAGCAACCGTGGCAGAGCTGAAACGTGAGGTAATCACAGCTCAGAGGAAATAGATGCATAAACACATCTGTTTGAAGAGATCAGAGTCTTCAAATTAAGTTTTAAATTGTCTGTAGTGTTGCTTTCAGCCTACTTTACCCTAAACTTCTAGCTGCAGATTTGAGTAAAAGGAGCTGTCTTGTGCACAGCAGAATTGGTCATGGTTACTGCAGCCCTGCCAGCCCCCATGATTGTAGTGTGAGCCAGGGCATCCTTCTCCTTCCCTCACTGGCTGTTGTCATCTTTAGAGATTAGGGAAATCTTGGCAACAATATTAGGAACGTTTTCTCTCAAATGTTTATGTTCTGCCTGGCTGGCATTTCCAGCAGTACCATAAACATGATCTTTTATATTTTGTGCATTTTGCCAAGGAGCTCCCTTGAGCTAACACTTGGTGAGACTCCTCCTTTGATACCTGACTGGCTAAGCTTCTGTTTTAGTGCTGTGGCCAGTGAAGCCATTGAACCAAGTGATTATAATGGTATTTGCTGAAGTACTGCAGTGTCAGCTGATAAAAAGCAGTTTAGATTTGCCATAGTATTGCATCCATGTCAGCTGAGAGCCAGAGAAGTTACTTTCTGAGCATGTTTTTTTTATGAGGAGTATATTGCTTTCAGGGAGGTTTGGATGCTCTTTTCAGGGGCTGGCAGCTTCTGTAGTTATGCTGATATTGGAATTATTAGGGGAATCTTGTCCTGTTAGCAGCTGGTGGGATTCAGTCTTCACTCTTCAAATGCTGCACAGCCAATAGACTGCATCAAACTTGTGAAAAATCACTCAAATATGAGCAGGTGCTTAGTGAAATTAAAGAAAAAATGAGTTGAGAACATAGCATTTGTCTTTTAGAGCTTAAAACATAAGAATGGCAGTGTCATGGAGTTGTTCTGTGTTTAAGAGGTGTCTCAAATCCCTGCAGGTTTCTGACCGCCAGACTTACCTGGTGATCTCTCTGGTTCTCTGCCTCATTCTGGGCTTGGTGCTTTTTGTGCAGCGGTGCAGGAGCCCTTCTCAGTTCTGTGAAGATTACCTCTCAAAAATTCCCAAAAGCAATCACTACCCTAGCCCCAAAAGGTAATGGATTTATATTTGAAACTTAATTGTTCTTGCAGGTTTTATTAATGTTTCCTGAGTCTGCTGGTACTGGCACGTCTGCTTTAATTCTCAGTTTTCTTTCTGTGCACTCAGAATTGATAGCAAAGGGCTCTCCATTGTAACACTCTCCTAGGAGCATTTTGGAACTACTGCACTTGAAAAATATGCCTTGATAACTTGTAGCAAACAGTCCTGTGTCTGTTAGCCAGGCTTTCTTGGGCACCTCAACAGTTCTGTCTTTCTGCCAAGAATGATTTTTAAACATGACAAAGTCCTGAGAAAAATGTGTTTAAAAAGCTTTCTGGAATTTCCTAGGTGTTTCTCTTCATATGATGATATGAATTTGAAAAGAAGAACTTCCCTTCCACTGGTCAGATCCCAGTCTTTCCAGCTAGCTGGTAAAGAAGGTATTATTTATATCATAGATCTGGTCTGTGGTGCTGCTCTTAGTGCTGCACAATGTGTGTGTGGTTCATGTGTGTGTTCTGTAAGGTGGTTTGTGAACAAGTTACCAGATATTCACAGAACTGTGCTGAATTATGCTAAAACCTTAAATGCAGTTTTTGCTGCAGATATATTCTGCTCTGCAGATGGTTTTTTGGGGTTAGGAGCAATCAGTCAATCAGTGCAGGCACTCAGGTCTGCAGAGATGTGAAGCTTGCAGAAAGTAGCTGCTTTTTTTTTTTTTTTTTTTTTCTCTTGGAAATGCCAGACGTGGGAAGTCTGAGTGCCCTACTTTTCTGAAGTCCTGATAGCCTATGTTTGAAACTTGGCAGGTATTTAGGATTCAAATTTAGCAACTTCAGTAAGAAATCTTAGACCATTTACCTTGGCTTGGGTAAGAGGAATGATCTGATCTTTGCAGTATTCGTGGTAGATTTGGGACAACTGAATTTTGATTTCCTAGGCTATGAGTGTCATCCAAAAGCAAGAGTTGAGATCATAGTAACTAGCAAGTATGTTGCTGACACAGCTCTTCTGGGTGCAGCAAACTTGCTTCACAGGTTTTTGTTCTGTGAATAAAACTCCATTAAAACTCTTGAGTTGGCATGAACACTAGCTAAGGCCCAGACTACTTTTTTTTCAGAAGGACACTTTTCCCAAATTCTCCCTGCTGGTCTCAGGTCTGTTTGAACATCTGCCTTGTTGGTGGGTGCACATCTGTGCTGTCAGGGTTAGGCTGCACGTGAAATACATTGGGAGCAGTTTGTTTTCCTAGACTTCAGCATTCAGACTCCTCCTTTTCCCTGTTCTTTGCACCTCTCCCATGGCCGTAACTGTGAGGAAGCCAGGAGTTTTCAAGTGTTGTCACTCACAGCTGCCATGACACACAGGGGAGTTTGTGTGGTGACTACTTCCAGTGTTTGTATTGTGCCCCCCTTAACTTACAAAGGGAGAGAGGCAAAAATGTGCCTGCTCAGTGGAATATTTTGTCATGCTGCTGTTGGTTGGGATTGTGTTGCTCTAGAGCTGGCAGTGTCAGCACTATTGAGTGTCTGTTCTCTCTTACAGTGGATGCAGAGGATCTGTACATTGTGGAGCCCCTGAAGTTTTCCCCAGAGAAGAAGGTACCATCTCACCCTGTGGGGAGGGAGCTGGTGGGGCTGAGGTGTTTGTGCTGGCAGGTGGGGCTCAGAATCCCAGGGTTGGAAGAGACCTCCAAGATCATGGAGTCTAACCCAGCCCAGCACCTCAACTAGACCATGGCACTGAATGCCACATCCAGGGATGGTGACTCCACCACCTCCCCAGGCAGACCATTCCAAAGCTTTATCACCTTTTCTGTAAAAAACTTTTTCCTAATATCCAACCTGTATTTCCCTTGGCACAGCTTAAGGCTGTGTCCTCTGGTTCTGTCAGTGCTACCTGGAGAAAGAGACCAACCCCAGCTGACCACAAGAACCTTCCAGGGAGCTGTAGAGAGTGATAATGTCACCCATGAGTCTCCTTTATTCCAGCCTAAACAACCCCAGCTCCCTCAGCCATGCCTCACAGGCTTTGTGTTCCAAGCCCCTCACCAGCCTCGTTGCCTCCTCTGGATTCTCTCAAGCATCTCAACGTCCTTCCTCAGCTGCTCTCCCTGCTGCTTCCTAGGCTTGGCTTGGTTGCTCTGCTTCCCTTCCAGAACCTCACCATTTCTTTTTTTTTCCATTTGTGGTTTCAGAAAAAGCGTTGCAAGTACAAAAGCGAAAAACCAGAGACTATTAAGCCGACAACAGAGCCCCTGCACCCGATAGCCAACGGGGACATCAAAGGCAGGAAGCCCTTCACGAACCAGAGGGACTTCTCTAACATTGGGGAGGTTTATCATTCTTCCTACAAGGGCCCTCCATCCGAGGGGAGCTCTGAGACATCGTCACAGTCAGATGAATCCTACTTCTGTGGCATCTCGGCGTGCACGAGTCTGTGCAACGGGCAGAGCCAAAAGACAAAAACTGAGAAGAGAGCTCTCAAACGGAGACGGTCGAAAGTTTCAGAGCAAGGGAAGCTCATAAAAACTCTGATACAGACTAAGTCGGGGTCCATGCCAAGCCTGCATGACATAATCAAAGGAAACAAAGATCTAGCAGTGGGAACACTCGGTGTCACGACAGTCTCTGGACACATCTAAAGCTAGCTGGACTTGTCAAACAGGAGAGTGTTTGTTCGTTTGAGAACAGTCTGTGGTATTCTGTGGGAGGATAGTGGGAGACGAAGAGCTCGACTCATTGGAAAGTATTCAGAAATTTGGTTTCTGCCTTTTTAAATAGATGGGATTGTGTCAATCTTGGCTATAAGCTGCAGCTTTACAAGGCTGATAATTTCCTATGAGAACAGCTTGGGGGGGGAGGGAGGGCAGGGTTCATTTTATAAAGGTTTTTTTTCACAGTTCCTGGGGCAGAGAATTTTTGAAACCCAGTTTGTTGGGTGGAATAGGGATAAAAGCCTAATCCTCTTCCTTTAGCTTTGTTCCTATTTCTTGCACCTTCCCATATTTATGTGCCTTTTGTCTATTTATAATGCCACTGGAAGAGGGGAGATTCAATTGTTTGTCATTTGATTTATTTTGTAATTTCTCTAGCTTTTTTTGAAGATGCAACACTACAGTGCTGTAAAGGGACATGTGTTGGCCTTCAGCTGGACTCAGTAATGTGGACTGGATACTGTAAAAATACCAAGAGATGGACTTGCCTAACTAGATTCTTGTTTTGCAAACTCTGTTGAGGAAAATCTCTCACCAGGGATGGCAATTGTGTTTACTTGCACCTTCAGTCACAATCGGAGCTTACTCTGATGTGCAAAATCAGTGACGGCGGCTCTTCAGGATTTCCTGTTGGTGAGGAATCTGAGGCTGAGGAAGGCATTTGTCACCTGAATGGCCTGCTGCAGCTCTCTGGAGGAAGTGCATGAGGATTGCTCCCTGCTGTTGTGCTGAAGAATGTGAGGCTGCATTCTCGGAGTTTGCCAAGCCTGGGAGTCTGAGCCTCGGGGCTGGCTCACAGCTGGTGTTTCCATAACGTTTGCTTTTGTATTGGCTAACAAATGTGCAGTGTTGGTATGGCTGGTATTTCATACTCAAGTGTTTTTTATTTTGACTGTGACTGTGTATTTGGATACTATAGGATGTGTGGTTGCTGAGCTGTTGAGTGTGGTTCTGAGTGAGTGGAACAAAAGGTTATTCCTTTTGGACAGGTGTTACAGGTTCACGTTGTACAAAATAAGTTAACTTATTGAGCACTTTTAGTGGTACCCTTTTTAACAGATCTAATGCCTCTCCTGGGTATTGTATGTAATGTGACTTATTTAAAGCCTTTGTTTTTTGCTGCTTTCTTGTTAGTTTATGAGTACTTTAAAGTGATGTACTTTCAGAGTTGATCTGCACAATTAGCCAGTCAGAGCATATGAACCAGACGTGTTGAACATGAATTCAGAAGGATGTCAAACCTGGATGAAGAAAATTCATACCACCAGAGTGCAGCATCCAACGTTGTGGAGCAAGAGTATGTAACTACAGAGCTGTAGTGCCATTAGAAACTGTGAATTTCCAAATAAATCTGAACACTTTGTCTTTCATTTACTCGCATTTTTTCCTTTGAAAATGAAACTCGTGGCTTACATTCTTTGTGAAGGACTGGTCTTAAAATTTCAGTCTAGGACTAGGACTTGGGATCCTTTGGGCTGTAGTAAGGAGTTCATAAACTTGTCAGCCTAGATGGTTTTTTTAATGTTTAAATAAAGAAGAGTGTGGGGGAGTGGATTCTGAGGGCTGAGTGGTGCTTTGTCCAAAAGGTCAGGAATTGTGGCCCTGTGAAACTGCTGGAGAGGTTTCCAGCAGGTCACTTCACACTTGCCCTGGGGGATCCCTGCGTGTGGTGGCTTTCTGTGAGAAGAACTGCATGAAATGACCTCTTGATACTGTGAAGGATACAAAAGGCCTTGAAAGGAAAGTTTAGGCAGTCATTATCTCAAAACAGAGTTTTCAGCTTGAAGTTTGCCCTTTACTGGTCGCTCCCCCTCTGACTTAATTCTGTCAGGCCCAGCAGGACTGTGTGCAGCCAAATCCAAATTCACGGGCTGGTCAGCGACTCCTTGTCAGAGGAGACCTCCCCAGCACTGAGTTTTCACTTGAGTGTCTCAGGACTCTCTGCTTCATCATAGCACTCTGACTTTAAAATAAAACTGAATGTGGAGTTTCCTGAGGGAAGAGAATATTGGATGTTTTGTGGGGGGAAAGTATGGGTTTCTTTTATTTATTCCTTCCACTTGATCCGTCAGTTGTTAGAAGCATGTGTATCTTCATTGCCCAGGCAACCACTGGGCTTTTCAGTAAGAATCACCTGAAGCTGGATGTGACTGAATTCTTAAAACAGCCCCTCTTGACACACTGGCTATGAACTAAAAGCTCCCAGATAAATGAGGCTGTGTGTTGAAATCCCAAGCACAAGTTCCGATTTTCAAGTTAACAGTTGCAGATATGAAACCCAAATGGATTCTAAACCAATCCCTTACTACCCTGCTCCCTTTATACATGTTAAAAACTGGGCCTGATTTAGGGGCTGAGGAGTTGATGCATTTTGTGGAAAAACACCAGTGATAAAGCTGGTCCTGTAATGAACATATGGGAAATGTGTCATGGGAATAAAGCATCTGAAGGAACCTACAGGGCCGATTATGCTTTTGCAGATTTGAGAGTGTGTTCTGGTAAGAGATCAGACATTGGACCACAGCTTCCACCTGCTGCTGCTTCGTTGCTTTTAGTTATCTGTAACCACTTAAAAAAAATTACCATCAGGTTATTATTGCCTAATGTTTTCCTTTCATGTGGGCTCTTGAGTAATTTTTTACTTTCAGTTTTATTGATGTCACACAGTCTAGCTTTCAAAATTTGGTTCTTTGGCATTGAGTGTCTTGGTTATATACTTTATGTAGGGATAATAGTTCCTAATGAAGACAGTTTATACCTCTCAAATTCCTGTGTGACAGTCTTATGATATTGCAAGCAAAGCTTGGGCAGCTGTTGGGATAAAACACGCGGAAGCCAATATGTGTGCTGGAGTGAGGATGGTGTCCTTCAGTCCTTGGGCAGGTCCTGAGCCCAAGGTCAAAAAAATCTGTAATGCCAAGGTTTCCATGTGAGGGTGGATAGGTGCAAATGCACCTTGTTGCTGTGTTTGCCAAACAAAGGTGTTTCGGTTACATTCATTAAATATCAGTGGAAATCCAGGCTTTTTAAAGATGCAGACTCCACCAACTGTGTGGTGATGTAAGCAGAAACCCCAAATCTAAGGGTGCCTGTGGCTTGTGCTTTTGCCAAGTTACAGCACGAGGTGGAACAGCTTAGCAGGTTTTGCTTAATGAGGTGCAAACATGTTCCACTTCATTTGGAACAGTGAGGTGGAGAGCCCTGCCCACAGAGTGCTGTGTCTCATCTCCTGGAAACCCTGAGTGTCCAACAGCAGCTGCAGGTGCTGCTGAGCTTTGGGACAGCTCAACAAGAACCTCACCCCAGAGCTCATCCAGATAAAAGCTTGATGCCTTGGGTTTCAGCTTTTCTATTTTTCAGAATCTCTGCTGCTTAGTGTGTAACTCTGAAACTTCATGCTAGGTGGTAGTAAGTTCTCTTCACACGGGAGCTGGACAAAACAATTCCTTTTAGCTGGAGAATCAAGGACACCTGGTACCCAAAAAGCAGAAACAACAGCAAGGGAAAGGGGGCAAGCCAGGGGGCTGAGACTTCATAGCCCGGGGCTGTGGTTGGATAATTGACCCCAATATGCAGATGAATCAGAACTTATAAAAGTGTAAAAACCCGTGACCAGGATCCATCTTGGGTTTGATTTGGGTGTAACCCCAGCCAGGCTCTTGCACTGCCCAAGGTGAATCCTTTCAATAAATTCCTATTTTATCCCTTTTGCTCTGCCTGGTCTCTGTTCCAGCTCAGCCTTTCCAGGGAACAAGCTTAGGTTGGGAAGGAGTGCTGAAACTCATCCCTCTCACTCAGCCCTTCTCTAATTTTAGCAGAATAGATGTGAAAGAAGCTTCCAAGGAGGCTTCTGCTGCCCTCCTGCTGTCTGGTATTGAACAGGGGCTGGGAGCTGCAGCTGGCTCTGGCTGTGCTGCTTTCCATTCCAGTCACCAGGAGCTCCCACAGCATTGGGAGGCAATGGAGAGGAACTGAACTCTGCCCCTTGTGGAGCTAGAGATGGAAAAGAAACGTTTGCCACTTCGGGGCTTGTTTTTCTCCCTTGTTAGATGTGGTTGGAGCCTCTGTGCTGCTGCAGGGCCCTCTGTGAGCTTGCCGCAAATAACAGTCCCTGTCTGCTATTCCTCTTCTCCCAGAAAAATGTCTGGAAGAAGCTACTGTAACTTCTGGGAGTCATAATGACACAGTTACAGTTTGTTTGTCTTGCCTGGGCTGAGACTGGCTGTTCCCAAGAAGTAAAACTCAAGCACAGACCAGGCCCCCCTGGCCCAAAACCACTCTACCTCATTTCCCTGCACTGACCGCAGGCACGAAAGAAATGAAAGCAGCAGAGTAACATTTTAATTACTCTTCTTTTTCCTATCTGCTTAGGCTTGTTGGGTTCTCTCTCACCTCAGGACAGAGGCCTCTCGCTAATTCAGTGCTGCTTGTTGGAACCAGGGTAAAGGAGAGGACAGAGCACCTTGCTCACTGGGAAAGGGACGTGTTAAACACTGTAATGCCAGGCTGAGCTGTTAACAGTGGACTTTAAAACCTGTTCTTGAATGTAAATATCTGAATGTCCTTGCCGTCGCTTTACAAATGCTCCTAGCAAGGAGAGCAGCTGTTGAGGAAATGAAAAGCATCGCCCTTACTTAGAAAACAAACTGTTAACAAGCACATAATAAAGGAAACATGAAGGTGTCAGTGCTAACTGCAAAGGCTGGGTGAGTTCTGGTGCCTTCCACACTCCTCTGAGGCTTCAGCAGATGGAAGTCCTCTCACAAGCATCCATAGCAGTGTTCAGTCAAAAATCCATCTTTTTATTCAAACTCCTTCAGATTTGACTCCCAATTAGTGGCTCCTTGGGAGGCTTTTATTCTGTGAGATGTAAGAGCTCTCTGCCGCTGGAAATGGCCTCTCTCTTCACAGGTTTTCCACACACTGCCCATCCCTCCCTGCCAATCTGCTCTCCAACAGGCAGGTTTGAACCTCCTTTCTGTCCAGCAGTTCCTGCAACTTCTTCCAGAGTTTCTCTGGAGTTGAACAAAGACTTGAAGTGAATTCCAGGAGTGTCTGTAGCTATCCAGAACTGTGGGAGCTCTCATGGGAGCCCTCTGGGTTTTCCCTGCTGGAAGCTCTTGTCCTGCTGAGGAGCCTCTCAGCTTCAGACTTGTTTTCTTTCTAGCACAGTGTTTTCTGCCCAAAGAGCTTGATCTGCAGTCTTTGTTTCTTGCCTTGTTTTCTTCTGATTCAATTCTCTGTCCTCATGATGTCGAATCCTGTGTTTTTGAATGATTCTTAACTTCCTCAGCTGCTCTTGGGTGCAATTCCTGCAGCCCTGTTGGCTTTCAAGAGTTGCTTTTTAACATTTCCTATTACACTAATGACTAGTGGAAACATTTGTTAATTGCTTCCAGAGAGACTCTGTCCAAAACACGGTGAGAGCCTCTCCTACACAGAGGTTCACACTTTAGTTTTTGAGTTTCGGGGTTTGTTTTCTGTCAAGTATTAGATCTGGATCATTGTTCAAGTCCTGCTTCTTTTGGGCTGTTTCAGGCAGGTCATCCTTCTGTCCCTAAATCCTGCTGGTACAAACTCTTGCCATAATTGTATGTTTTGTTAATAAAAGCTCCCACCTCTCCCCTGTGGGTGAATTGGGAATGGAGAATGTTCTGAGCAAATCCTCTTTTGCAGTCTGTGTAATGTTTTTTGTTGGTTTGGCAAAGGGGAGCAGTTCTTTGATGAGGACTATGGAAGGTGTTTCCACTGGAAAATATTCCTTCCTGTTCAAATGGCATAATAGGGCTGCTGGAAACAGGGTGCACAGACTGGCTCAAGAGGGGAATAGGATGGTGGAGGCAAATCTGACACCCTTTTGTCCTTCTTGTGCCCTGTTTTCTGCCCAGCTGTCCTTGCCCCACACGTTAGGAGGTCTCAGCCTTGTCTAAATTCTGGCTCTAGGCCTTCTAGCAAAATTCACGTGACTGAAGTGCCTGCCTCCAGCAAATTGTGCTGCCATTATTTCAGTATCCTGTTAATACCATGTGTCATTTCAGCAGCCAGCAGAACACAGAGCCTGCAGGCACCAGAACCTGCTTTTTTTATGGACCACAGAACCTGGGTTTTTCTATGGACTGTGATCCTGATGTGCTGTGCAGACACAGCCCTGCCTGGCACCATCTTCCAGTCAGTGTCTGTAACCTCGGTGGTGGCTGAAGGGCGTGACAGGAAAATGGAGAGTGACAGCAGGAGCAGCACAGCAGAGGGAGAGGTCCCTGAAAAGCACGTTGTGCATCTTTTGATGGTAAAACAGCCCCAATCTTTGGTTTGCCACCACATGGGGTATTATCAGGCTCTTGATCTGGGCATCCAAAAAGGAAGGTGCAGCTGAAATGGCTTCAGTTGGTTTCCTTGTCTTTCCCTCTCACCTACATTTTAAAAAAGCATCTCTGTGAAAGTGGGAAGCAGTGGGTGTGGAGTAAGAACACTTGTGACATTTAAGGGAAGCTGCTACTCTCTCCTCAATCCCACCTCAATAAGCTGTTGGCATTAACACAGTGTCAGAAAAATGTGGAAGTGGATCCTCTCCAGGCAAAGCCACCGTGTGCCCCTCTCTTGTAGAGGCTGTGGGAGGGGGTGGGGACCTGTCCTTGGGTGGCTGCTCTGGGGTAGAGACAGGACTGAGCCAGGGTAGGCGTGACCAAGCTTGAACTTGTTAGAGTTGGATTTTTGTTGCTTTTGTGTCTCTATAACCCAGAAGTGTGAGGAAGAGCCAGATGGGGTTGTTGAAACCTGTGCTGTGGATTGCTGCTGGAGCAAAGGGCTGGTGAATATCTCCAAAAAAAGCAGTGACGTGTCTGGTGGTGCAGGCAAGATGTTCAGTTTTGTGGTGCAGTCTTGATGTTCAAGATCAAATCCTGTGTATTGTGATTGCTTCCTTCAGCCACAGGAGACAAATCTTGTGATAAGCATTTCCTTTTCTAAACACTACCCCATGCAAAAACACACTTCAACACGGGTCTGTGAAATGCAGGGAAAAAAAGTTTATAATCGCTTGTGTGCACCTGGGAAATCTGTGGGAAAGCTCACTGTCCCCACTTAGAAATCTGCAATAAATGAGGAATGGAAATGGAGAAATGGAAATGTCCCTGTCTCTCTTCATCAGGATATTGTAATGAGCTCCTAAAAGTGAGCTCATTAAGAGTGAGTGCATCCTTTGCAGCATACTCTGGATTCTGTGTTTTTCCTCGGCAGGCAGGAGGGCAGCACCTGAGCTGGGCTGTTCACGCTGGGACAGCTCTGCTCGTGCTGCACGGCATCTCCCTCTTCCCAGCGAGGCTTTTTCAGCAGCAGCAGCAGCAGCTCATGGTCTGTGTGCTGTGCCTCGGCATCCGTGCGGAGCTGCCGAGGAAAGGCTGCGATGCTCAGCGGGAAGGGAAGCAGCGATTCCCCTGCATCCCACTCGGGCTGGGTTTGGATTCTGCATCTTCCCGCTGGGGAGGGCTCCTGGGCTCCATCTCTCCCTTTCGCTGCCGGATTCCGGACATTTCCTCGCTCTTTAATTTCGGGCAGCGGGGGTGCAGCAGCCCGCGCGTTTTTGGGGCGCTGCTGCGGCTGCGGCACCGCGGAGCCCCCGGAGCGGAGCTGTGGGAGGAGCGCGTTTCTCCCGAACCCAAGGCGGCCCGGAAGGGGCTTTGCTGCTGATGCTCGAAGCTTTCGGAGCCGCAGCATCCCCGCCCGGTGCTCGCTGCCGCAGGGATGCAGCCGCACCAGGGCAGAGCTGCCCCAAACCCGGCGGGCTTCGGACACCGCAAGGATGAGCCCGGCCCGCACGTCCGGCCAGTGCCGCTGCCCCCTGTGCAGCAGAACCTGAATTATTACCCCCAAATCTTTTGGGTGGACGGCTGTGCTGATGCCGGGGCTCCCTGCCCCCCGGCTCCCCCCGTGGCTCCTTTCCCACCGCCCGTTCCCGACAGGAGGAGAAAACCACGGAGCCCCAGGGAAGGGAGGAGCGTGGGATCCCTCGTGATGTTCCTGCTGATCCTGGTGGCCTTCACTGGAGTGGGGCTGAGCATTTTTAAGATTTTTCACCTGGAGAAGGAAGTGGATGAACTCAGAGAGGTGAGCTCTGCCTGGCTGGGTAAAAAACGGGGTAAAAGGATCGCTGGGAATGGTGTCTGAGATGTCCCCAGGGGGCAGGGTGGTGGCATCCCAGCGTCTGCTGTGACAGAGGAAGGGGGTGGCTGTCCCCGTGAGGGACTGGTTTATCTGTTCCTTTCATGTTTATTATGTTTATTATGCTGTTTATCCGTGTTCCTGAGCGCTGCCTGGGTATTTCCTCGCACTTTGCAGCCCCCCAGATTTAGGGCAGTCCTCGGCTGCTCTCAGCCTGAGCCCGTGTCCCTCTTCTCTCTTTTCAGTCTGCCGGCGCTGAGCGTGTCCCTCCGGCCTCCCAGAAACTCACAGGTGAGTCTGTGCCCGAGGAGGAACCCAGTGAAAATGGAACTTTCCACCAGATCCCGCCAATTTTTCTAAATGTCGTTTAGTGAAAAAAGATTAAAGAGTTTCAATTTGGGTGGAACAATTTAAAAATTGGGGTTTGAACTTCCAAGCTATTGCTTTCCTTCTGCATTCCATGTTAATGTTGTAAACGAGGATATCCTTTTCAAAAATGGCCAAGTCAGAAAGAAATTTTCATTCCTCTTGACAGTTTTATTAACTCTGAAAGTTATTTTAACTCTAAAAAGTTTTGTTTTTTCTCCCTCTTGATAATCTTAGTTGGTAGAAAATTTATTTTCAATTTTGTTCTGATACAGAATCCAAAATAATTTGAAATAGCAAAATTATTGGGAAAGGGCAGTCCTGATTCTCATCAATTCTTATACCAATAAATTTTCCCTTTTAGGGGAAGGGGAGCTGTTATTTGAACTGGATGCTCAGTGCTCTGACCACAGGCTTCTTTAGCAGAAGATGAACAGAAATAATAACCCTGAATTTCTGGCTGGATAAATAAATAGAAACAGGGAAATACTGTAAAGGAGAAGGGGGAGTGGAGAGGAAAATTGAATTGGCTGGAGGAAAGAAAAGGCTGAAATTAGAGAACATGGAGTAGATGATGAGGGAAAGTGAAGGGATGGAGTGGGATGGGATCCAAACACCACGTGGCCAATGTCCTCCCTATCCCTGTGCAGGGCAGAAGGAGCAGCCCCCGAAAAAGGAGCCAAGGAAAGCAGCACATTTAACAGGTGAGGGATGGGATGGGATAATGGGATGGGATAATGGGATGGGGATGGGATGGGGATGATGGAGATGATGGGGATGGGGATAGGGATGATGGGGATGATGGGGATGATTGATAGGGATGATTGATGGGGATGATGGAGATGATGATGATGATGAGGATGATGGAGATGATGGGGATGGGCAGCTCTGGTGGGATCAGGGAGTGGTAGGGATGTGAACACACCTCACACAGGCTTCCCTTGGGTGACACGTCTGCTCTGAGTGGAAATTTGCTCCACAGATAAAACCCTCCCACTCATTTATGCTTCTCAGTGAGGCCTGGCTTTGGCTTGGTTGTTTTGGGGTTTTTTGGGGTGTGCAGGGCAGGAGCTGCCACTGGGGGCAGGTGTTGGTGAGGTGAGGCTGGGGAGGAATTTCCAGGATTTGGAGAACTGCTGCCTTATAATGTGGGGTGTGACCTGAGTGGAAAACACATCAAGGAATGTTCTTATGATTTACTAAAATATGAGTATTGATCTAATACCAATACCCAACTGTGATGGACAAGACTCCCTAACACTTTAGAGTTAGAAAGTGAATGCTTAATTCAGTGCTGGGCAGCTGTGTAATCTCCTAATTATTAATTAATTAATATGGAGCAACCCCCTAAAAATCACAAGTGATTACAGAGTCTATTTATTTAGAAAAGTTTTAAATATTTACATATCTATAACACCAGCACCTCCCATTTCCTGCTTTCTATGGTAATTAGCTTGAATGGCTATTAAGCATGTGTGGTTTGTTTTCTCAATTGAGTCTGTGGTCTTTTTTCTTGTGAAAAGAGGAAGTAAGGCCAGTCTTCCTCGCCCTGAACTTTCAACCCCTCCCATAGATGACAACACAAATGATCTCTGGGAGATCTCCAATTTCCTTCCTTCATGACTTTGAATTGCTTTCGAGATGTAAAAGATTTAAAATAGTTTGTGTTTCTTTATTTATCAGTTTCTCCTTTTCTCATTGCAAACCCAACTGAGCAAACAGAGAGATGACAAGCAATTAGTTATTTAAATTTGAGATAACCATCTCAAGTCCACAAGACCTGGCTATCAATATGCTTTAATTAATTCCAGAAAATCTATCTTTTAGCTAAAATCCTAATTTTTCTAAAATTAGTGTCTCACTTACTGTAAAAAACGAGGTTCAGTTTCCTGGTAGATTTTTAAAAGTTTAATAAAAGGATAGATTTTTAAAAGTTTAATAAAAGACAATAAGAGGCAATAAAGCAAAAGGTTACAATAGCCAGGTGCTTGGCATTCTGCCAAGAGCACACACTAACTCAGAAAACACTTCTTTAAATGCATCAACCTGTTGCATATTCATAAACCTTCATGCTTTATCCAAAATCATTCCCCCCCAACCTGTAAATCAACATTTTTAAACTTTTTTAAACTTTTTTTATTTTTTCCCTTGTGGCTCCTTCTTGATAACGGAGATCAATAAATTCCTTCCCTGGAGTTTTGGTGTTGTCACCCCTGCCTTCATCCAGACAGGATAATCCAAGAATGTGAAAAGTTTTCTGATTCTCTTTTTTACCATTCTCTGAGTTAGCTACATGAACAAAAGCTTTTTACATCACCACATCATAGTAAAAAAAAAAAAATCTTTATCACACTACTATTTCTAAGTTTTGTTAATAGCAGAACTAAGAGGAGCTACATTCATACAGCAAAATTTCCCAATATTATATATAACAGAACTGGGAGTTTGCACCGCTTAATCCGTGCTTTGTCTCAATCTCTTCTGCCCTCGCTCAGAGCCAGGATTAACAAGTGCACGGTGGAAATGGATTTTCTCGTGTTCGGGCTTGGTTGGTTGTTAAATCTGATCAAAAAGTACAGAGTGTTCAGCAGCACTTCCAGCTGCCTGCTAGAAGTGAGGAAAAATGGAGAAAGATGCAGCTGCTACAAGGTCTCTTAAAGCTAAACAGTCCAACAGAGAATTAACACCTATATTATTTATCCTTTTAACCCAATAAGTAAATTCCCATGACCCTCAGTGTGACACTGACTGTCCAACCAGAAATTACTGCCTGAAACCATGAAGAAGGAGGAAGATGAGCACCAAAAAAGACACCACCCCAAATCCTCCATCTTGTCCCATACCTATTACTGTATTATAAAAACCTCAAATTTAAAACCCTTCACTATGTGAAAGCACACACTTCTATTTCGTTACACACCCGTGATTTTAACTCCATCACTCAAATTTGGAAGCTTCTCCAAGGCCTCAAGTCAAAAGCAGTGTTCTCCTGGGGGTCAGTGCCTGGCAGCACAAAAAGCTCAAAACCCCCAGTTTTCTGGGATCCAACAATTATACATACAGCATTTATTTTAATATTTGCAAAAAAAGCCAATAATACAATACAGTATGTAATATCATTTATCTATTATATATTTGTACATGGAATAGAATATGTACTTATAACACTTACTACCCTTTGTTTGTTTGTTTTGTTTTGTTTTTTCTTTTTGTTTTTTGGGGTTTTTTTTTTCCAACTTCCAGGCAACCCATCCCAGCAGGACCTGCCTTTGGAGTGGGAGCCCACCTCTGGCCATGCCCACACCAGTGGCATCCAGTACCAGGAGCGTGGGCTGCTCATCAGCGAGCCTGGGCTCTACTTTGTGTACTCCAAGGTGCTGTTCCGTGGCAGTGCCTGTGACACCCAGCTCCTGTCCCACGTCGTGTACAAGAGGAACCCGGCGTCCCCTGGCAGCCAGGTGCTCATGGAGGACAGAGCCACCCACTTCTGCACGGGGCAGAGGGTGTGGGCCAGGAACAGCTACCTGGGGGCTCTCTTCAAGCTCAGGAAAATGGACAGCCTGCATGTCAACGTCTCCAAAATCGCCCTGGTCAGCTTTGAGGAGTCCAAGACTTTCTTTGGCTTGTTTAAGCTTTGAAATGGAGTTTAAAAGGCAGCCCCTTCATACATACACACAGGGATGTGTGAGGGCTGAGTGCTGCCTGGGCACACAACCCACCCAGGATCCGTGTTTGGGCTTCAGCACGGGGGCATTCGAGCACCTGGAATGCACCAGGGCTGTGCTGCACCAGCCTGAGCAGGATTGCACGTGTTGTCCTCACAAAAACCCCCACAAACCCAGAAAGTGGCGTGCTGAAGAGCTCCCTACTGAGAAGATGCTGCTGCCCATGGTGTCACAGCCCTGCTGGGGGTGTTGAGGAGGTGTCTGGGTGGTGCCACAGCACAGACAATGCTGTGGGGATGAGTAGTGTGAACGATTGCTCACCCCAAGGCATGGCTGCCCCCCTGGCCAGCACTGGGACTGCTGTAGCACAGACACTTCCCCCTAGCTGGGCCTGGGATAGGTGCTGTGCTCATTTTGTGTTAAGTTATAGACATTTCCCATCCCAGAAAATGCTCCCCAACCACTTTATTTAACTCACCCCAAGTGCCTTGCAAGGAACACACCAGCAGTGCCGTGGGGGGTGTCTGTCCCAGTTAATCAAAGCCAGCACTGTGTCCCACAGGTGACAATTTGTAACCAGCAGAGGGGCTTGAGGTGAAAGCAGCATCTCCAGCCCCCTCCTGCCCTTTCAGCACACGAGGGCTCTCCATGGTGTGCCACCCCTCTCCTGGTGCAGCTGGTGACAATTGGCACCTGCCAACCCGTGACTTCCATGCCATGAGATGTTCTGTCCTCAGGAAAACACAGATGGCAAATATATATTTTTCTAGTGAGTGGTGCTGTCCTCTCCTCATTTGGTGCTTGTGCCATGGCCAGAGCACTGCAGGGCCTCTGTGACCAGGGGTCAGGGCCTCGTTCCTTCTCCAGCAGCAGAAACCTGGGAGCCCCAGCCCTCTTTGCTGCCAGCTGGACAGTGTGCAGGGCCCTTTCCATGAGGATTTGGAGCTCCAGCATGGAAACATCAGGATGTGGGGCCTGGGGAGGTGTGGTGTGGGCAGCACAGACCCCTGTGGCCATGGGGAAGGGGCTGATCTCAAGCCTCAGTTTAGAGCCAGCACCTGTGGCCGAGCAGAAGTGCTGCTGTCCCCAAAGGCACCACCTGTGTGACCTCTGGCCCCAGGAGCACTCCTCACAGAGTGAAGGGCAAAGAAACAGAAAAAAACAGAAAAAAACAGAAAAAAACCCCAAATCCTATTTATTCATCCTGGTGTCAGGTCCAGGGGTTCCAACCCTGAGGCTGTCACTGTCACCAGGCAGGACACAGAGGATGCAGCTGTGCTCCAGCATCACCTCTGGCCGTGCTCCTGCCTTCCTGCAGCTCTGCTCTTGGTCTCAGTGGATGTGGCTCTTCAGAAGCCTCAGCATTTGTTTCCTTTTCCATGATGCTGCTCTCAGCTCGGTGGCCTGTGGTTTGTGTTGTCTGCTTCAGAGAAGTTTATTTCGAAGAAATAAACTTTATTTCTTCTCAGTGATCTGGCTACTGCTGTGGCCATCGTGAGGGGAAAACTGTTCACCCCTGTTCATGCAGTCATTGCTGAAGCTGATGCTGGTATTTCTCAAAAATATCTCAAGAGGAGGAAGTTTAGAGATCTTCTGGCTTGACTTTTTCCCACCGCCCCTGCAGGCATCAGAGGGTAAAACTGCACAGAGCAGAGATGGAGCTGCTGAATCCAGAGCTTCCCAGGAAAGGCTGGGAATTGCTGTCCTCTTCTGGTTGCTCCTTGGGCTGTGTTGCTCTCCTGCTGATGGGACATCCAAGGGGGAGTGGGCAGCTCTTTGTGCAGCTGTCTGTGTAGCCAAACTAGCCAAGCACATCAGGTGCTTTACGTGATCATCCCTTTTTCACTGGGGAGCAGCCTGGAGACAGGCAGGGTGTTCCAGGCCCACAGGGAACCTGCCCGAGGTTCCTCTGCCTGCTGGCACAGTGGTGGAAGGGCTGGAAGGATCCCAAAGGCTTCTCCAGTTCCACACAATAACCCATGCAGGCTGTGGCTGCTGTCAGCTCAGGGGCAGGATGAGATTTTGCTCTTGGGAGAGGATGAGATCTGTCCTTAAGCAAAATGCCAAAGGCACATCAGGGCTGCACATTCCAGAGGCAGTGGCCCAGTGGGGTGGGCAGTGTTGGGGTGGAGAGTGCTGGAGCTCCTGAGGTGGCCAGAGCTGGTGCAGATCAAGCTGGGGCTGCCAGGCTGGCTCTCCAGTCAGTGGCACAGCTGCCAGTGAGATGTGATGAGGTTCTGCTCTGTGATCCCTCCTCAAATATCCCCAGAGCCACTGCTCAGCTCCTGGGCTCTGAATTCACATTGGCAGCTTGGAAAGGCTGAGCTGGAACAGAGACCAGGCAGAGCAAAAGGGATAAAATAGGAATTTATTGAAAGGATTCACCTTGGGCAGTGAAAGAGCCTGGCTGGGGTTACACCCAAATCAAATCCAAGATGGATCCTGGTCACGAGTTTTTACACTTTTATAAGTTCTGATTCATCTGCATAGTGGGGTCAATTATCCAACCACAGCCCCGGGCTATGAAGTCTCAGCCCCCCTTGCTTGCCCCCTTTCCTTCTCTGTTGTCTCTGCTTTTTGGGTACCAGTTGTCCTTGATTCTCCAGCTAAAAGGAATTGTTTTTACACTCCCCTGTGAAGAGAACTTACTACCACCTAGCATGCAGTTTCAGAGTTACACACTGAGCAGCAGAGATTCTGAAAAATAGAAAAGCTGAAACCCAAGGCATCAAGGTCAGGACAGGACTGTACAATTTCAACCTGCATGGGCTCAATTCTTGCAGCCATTCAGTCATTCATTGTGCCACATCGATTTTAGTAAAGTCGTCAGTTTATCCAGCTAACTAGCCGTTCATTTAAAGAGATTTTTGCTAATTGTTCCCGCTCAATTAGTATTTAATGCTGATATTAGGCTCTCTCAGGCTGAAAGAGTTGGGGTTGTTCAGCCTGGAGAAGTTTCCAGGGATACCTCAAGGGGCTCCCAGAGAGCTGGAAAGGGGCTTGTGACAGGAGCATGGAGTGACAGGAAAAAGGGAATGGCTTTAAACTGAAAGGCTGTAGGTCTAGACTGGGCATTGGGAAGAAATTCTTCCCTGTGAGTGTGATGAGGCTCTGGCACTGCCCAGAGAAGCTGTGGATGCCCTGTCCCTGGAAGTGTTCAAGGCCTGGTGGGACTTTGAGCACCCTGATTCCTGCCATGAGCAGGGGTTGTTGGAGCTATCTTTAGGCCAATCCATTCTGTGATTTTTAATAGCTCTTGGGCTGTACTTAAAATGTTTTAATAAAAATAAATTTTTGACATTTAATTTGAACTCACCAAAGATTTTGTTCTCTCCCCAGCAAGGGAAGGGTCTCTGCACAAGAAAGGATATCTCATATTTGAATGTGCAGCTGCCCAAATCAGGGCTCTGCAGGGCAAATATTTATTCTGTTTTGTTCTGCACAGAAAGCTGCTTGGCAGAGATCTGCCCTCCCTTGTGGCTGATGTGTATTAGATGCTGTATCCAATTTACCTGCCCTGCTGGAGGAAAAGGGAAACCAGTTTCCAGCGCCCTGCAAACCTTGTGTAGGCTCAGGATGTGCTGTAACCAAGGGGGCAGAAGGGGCTGCATCACAAACTTGTTTTTTTAATCTCCTATTTTCACCCAAAGCCAGCCCTGGGCTCTCTGAGTTTCTGTTACAATTTCTGTCCTCTGTGGGATCACTTCTTCCAGCCCAAGGAGTTGCACAGGCTGTGGCAAATTTTTACCAGGTTGGGAAGGAGCATTGCCTAGTGGTTCGAGAGAGGAGAAAGGGAAGAGGGGTAGATTGATTTATTGCTGTTATTCTGCCAGCGCTCTGACACATGGGGGTATTTCATCATGGTTACAGAAGTGGAATTTTAGGCATGACTAAGTGACTGAGGTTCAACACAGAGCAGAGGGTGAGATGAGTAAAGACAGAGTAATTTTGCTGCAAGGTGAGGCAAGTTGCATGGGAATTTCTGGTTGGTTTTAATGACTTTAAAAAAAGAATAAAAAAGGGAAAGAGGAAGAAGAAAAGCTTGACAAGTTGCTGCTGATTCATCTCTCGGGGTAATGAGGAGAGCCAGGAGTTCTGTCCCAGGAGCTGTGGGACTGCCCCTGCCAAGCCAGCAGCAGCTGTGTGAGCAGGCACAAAGGCTCTCTGCTCTGGAGACTCACAGGCTGGATTGGAAAGAAGCTGCTCATTCCTCTGGGTAGTAAAGAGACTAAAAGCTCCAGGTGGAATTTCGAACCACAACATGCTTTCCTCTCCCTCAGCTGCCTCCTCATTCCTCAGCATAGCCATGAGAGAATCAGCTTCTCTCCCCGCTTGCAAACCATCACAGATGTTTTACATCTCTCTCTCCTTCTCCCGTATTTCACAACCAGTTCCCTTCAACAACAGCTCAAAAAGTCTCCCTGTCCAGATTTCTTTTGTTCTTGGAGATCCCCCTGGTTGGCCTTGGTCAGGTCATTCCTGGGGACTGAAAGCCAGCTGGTCACTTAATTCCCTGGGGTTTCACCTTGGAAAGGTGCCCTGGGAGGGCAGAGGAGCAGCTGGCCTTGTGAGCCACTGGCATGGCTTTCAGGACTGGACTGCACCTTCTCCTCAGCCTGTTCTGGAGAGCATGCACTTCCCCTGATGTGCCTCTCTCCTCACTGCTGTGAGGTTCATGTCAACACGGAGTGTCTTGGTTTGAAAGACAGGAGCCTTTCTTGGAAAAGACAATGCAAACCCTCTCCATCCTAATTATTATAATTTTGAAATTAAGAGGCTCTCAGGCAAAGATATGGGAATAGGAATAACAGTTCTTTACTAGGAAAATTAAAATAGAAATGCAGTATTACAGAGAACAAACCCAAACCACTGCCAGAGTCAGAATCCAAGCTGACCCCCGTCAGTCAGTCAGGGGTTGGTGCAGTCCCATTCCATGGTGGCTGCATCCTCCTGCAGTGACAGATGTGGTTCTGCTGGAGCAGTGCTCCTGGAGAAGGTGCAGTTTTCCTCCAAAGCTCCAGGGATGATGTGGAAGGGTCTGGTTTTCCTTTGGAATGCAGTGGGAAAAGGCTGCTCTGATGTTCCAAATCTCAGCTTTGATCTGGGTAGGAAAGGCTTGGCTCCTCCCCCTGGGTGGAGCATCTCCCAATGGGATGATGGAATTTTATCAGCCATGCCCTGGGACTCCATGGCCCATTAACAGGAGATATCTCCTGGAGGGAGGATGGGCTGTGGGAAAGATAAAGAACACTGCCCCAGCTGGATTAACAGATGGGATAGAACACACACTGCTGGG